TCCCTCCCCTCCCCTCCCCCTCCCCTCCCCCTCCCCCTTCTCGTCTCCTTCCTCCCCTCCCCTCTCGTCTCCTCCCCTCGCACCTTTGCCAGCTCATCCTGCAAGTCTCTCTGCACATTCTCCGCCTGCTGGAGAAGCCGCTGATGCCTGCAGCACTGAAAGTCAAGCGCGGACAGGAGCGAAGGAGAAGCCAACTTTGACACTTCAGCCTTGAGCGACGAGATCGTCTGCAGTGCAAGAGCTCAGCTACTCACAGCTCCTGCCTCTCCTCTCCTCTCCTCTCCTCTCCTCTCCTCTCCTCTCCTCTCCTCTCCTCTCCTCTCCCCCTACCGAGTTGAATTGTGCGTTGCGAGAGCAGGAAGTCTTGCTGATTCTGTCGTTCTCTTGCTGCGAGAGCGGTGGTCAGCTCCGACTTCGATGCCGAGATCCTCCACCTCCAGTTCCTTCACGGCCGCTGTCAAGCTCTCCACCTGCTCTTCCAGCTCTTTGACGCGATCCTACTAGGAGTCAGAGCGGCTCGACGGCTTTTCAGCTTTGCCTTCATGTGATCCTCCTTCTTTGCCCAACTCGCCCGGGATGCAGAGAGCTCCTGGTCCTGCTTCTTCATCAGAGCTGTGAGCTCCTTTTCATGCGCAGCCTCCATCTGCATCAACGGTTGACAGATGTCGTCACGCCTCATCCCTTGACCTCGGCCTTGTTGTCTGCTGCTTCTTTCCTGATATGCCGCAACTTCTCTTCCACTGTGGAGCAGGAGCGTGAGAGACATCGAGGGACAGGAGACTGTCACATGTCAGAAGCTGATCTCTCATATTCTCGCATTCTATCTCCGTCGAGGCATAATGTTCCTTCAGGCTCGAGATCTCAACGATGCCGTCACGTCTCAGTCTTGCATGCAAGATTCACCTGTGTGCTCAGCGTTGCAACTTTCCTTTTCTCGATGGCGAATGCCTCCTGATAGAGCAGTTCAGTCCCATCCACGTACTCAGGGTACCACGATACCTCAGCGCGCATGGCGCGGAGCTTCTCCTTGTCAATCGACTTCTCCAGCAGTTGTTTCTGTGCCAAGATCACAGAGGTTCGCATGCCTCATCAAGACTCTCTCTCCATTCCTATCGCCGCACCTGAATCTTCATCTTGCTGGTTTGACATCGGAGATCCTGGAATCAAAGATCAAGTTTGGCCTCTAGCGTTTACAGCACTTCACCTCCATCTCGCTCAGAAGGTTCTTCTTCTCGTACTGTATCATCGTCAGCTCCATGCTCGCCTTCTCGTCTGCAACAAGGTTCGCTAGCGTTCACAATGAATTGCAGCGGATCGACCTTGTTTGCTCTTGGACTGGCTCTTGTGCATGCTCTCTGCCACGTCCAGGAGCTTCGACGCCGACAACGCCATTTCATCATATTCGCTCAGGATGTCGCTCGTTACGTCTGCCACTTGCTGCTCCATCTCATCGATAATCGACAGGTTATGACCCGAGGAGCTTGCTTCCCGTTCGCTCGAGCTGTCGTTTGCTCCCGTCGCGTTCAAGCATCGGCATACTGAAACTCTGGAGAGGATCGTCTGGAGACAGAACTCTAGCTCGGTCACCTTGCCGTCTAGAACGTAGGTCAAGTGCGCGAACCAGGCTAACGCTGAGTCAGGAGTCCCATTGCCGACTGACTCCGTCTGGTCCGAGGAAACCTCCCAGATCTCCGACAAAGAATCCCAGCTTTCCTGCGGGTGAGCAAGCCTGGCCTTGCCATTGTCGTGATGCTCCTTTCTGGTTTTCTCTTCTGTCCGCCTCCTCCCGGAGGCACTCAGAGCCCTGGTTCTTCTGCCAACCATCATCGTGGCCTCTCAACATAGCCATGCGGTGGATTTCATTGTGCTTCTATTGCTGTTGTAGAGGGTTTTCATTCCATCCTTGACGTGGTTCCTTGCGCTGCTCCTCCTTCCCTCGCTCCTTGCTTGTTCTCCCTTCCCACCCTTCGCTATTCTGCCACTAGCGAGCGTCACCCAAAGCAAGCCCTAAAAAAAAGTCAAGACTTGAGACTCTCCGTCGGCCGCCGGGCCGGGCGGGCCCCGGTCACCGAGTCATGCGCCGCGGCCTGCGGGGAGTAAGTGACGGTATCAGTTAAGTTTGGGGGACAGCAGTTGGCAGGATGAGGGTTCTCGCCGTTTGGCCTGCGGGACAGTTGTCAGGGTCAAGCCTTTTCGTCCGAGTCTCCTGATTGTCCTCGTACTGATTTTTAACTTAACTTTGAGTTAAAAAGGCGACCCCCCCGCGCCCGTACTGATCTTTGACTGGGCAACTTGCCATGTCCTGACGGTGAGGAGTCCGTGCCAACGGGGGCTTCGGCAACTTCGCGGCCGGCCCCGGCGGAACGCCCGGGCCGGGCCCCGGGTCACTGAAAGGCAGAAAGAGTTTGGTTATGAGCTGTTGGGTTAGAGTGTTCGTCAAGGGGGAGGTGGGGGTGTGAGTTGTGGGGAAATGATGGGGTAGTTTTAGGGCAAAGGGTGGGGTGAAGGGAAGGTGGGGTGGGGGTAATCGAGATTGGCTCATACAGAAATGGAGGAGCCGCTGCTCGGTAAGCGAAGCGGATACGATGGGAACGGGATGCGAGATCGAGGAGAGGGAAGAGGAGGAGAGGAGGAGGAGAGGAGAACAAGTAAGACAAGGAGGAAAAGTGCAGAGATAAGGGCAAGGAGCAAGGCAAGGAACATGAAGGATACGAAGAGTGTCGGTGGAAAGAAGTGACGATCTGGTGTGTTGCTGTTTCTGGTGCTGATGAGCATAAAGAAGAAACATGACCATGTGGAGGAGGAAAATGAAAGAAAAACTATGATCGCGAAGTGATATATTCTGCGTTAATGCAACAAGCGGCAGTGGAAAGAGTAGGGATGATGGTGGTCCGACAAGGGGATTGATCCTGGCGTTCTTGACAATATGAACAGGAAAGAGCAATGGACCTGACAGGAATGCTATGCTGAAGCTCCCTTGCAAGGTTGGTTCGGACTGCGCTGAGATTTCGATACTGCTTCCTTGTTGATTCGCATGATATTCCGTCACTCACTACCCGTTGAATCAAACAGGTCACGGGGATCACCGTGTCGGGGGTTCGCTTCACCAGCAAGGAGTTCATTCAACGGCTGCTGCAGAGAGCGCAGGAGAAGACGACCCATGGGGTGATGGCACTGCATGCTGACCCCTCCCTGACGCCTCCGCAGGAACTGGCAGAAGAACTCAGTCGAGCTTCAGGTCGCCTCGAGCAGATTGGAATCTTCCGTGCTGTGCGGTGTGAAGTAGACGCGGGTCAGAAGGATGACGATGTTGTCATCCTGGTCGATGTCGAGGAGAAAGGGAGACACACCGTCAGCACTGGGACCTTCGTCAACGAGGGAGAAGGCAACTTGGAAGTTTCTTGGACTCTGCGAAACTTTGGCATCAGTGCGGAGCAGGTAGTGTGATAGGTCTCGATGTAAAACTCACTCTTTCGGACCTTGTCGTTCAGGTGCAGAGCAGCGTCGCTTGTGGAAGCAGTGGGTCCAACGGTTTCCGTGTTGAGTTCGTCAAGCCTTACATCACGGACAACCTCTCCTTTCAAGCCAGCGCCTTCGAGGTGTGAGGGGTTAAAGGTTGGCGTGTGGCGAAGTGATCACTCTCTTGCTCCTACCTCCAGAATTTGAAACGCATCGCGACTCCCAGAAGTGTCGGAGAGAAGAAGACAGGGTTTGCAATGACTCTTGGTCAGGTGAATGAGAAACAGAGGACCTGACCTGTCGTTAAGTTCGACTTCCAGGTTGAAGGCTCCAGCTCTTTCACCTATGAGATCAGCAGGTGTGATGCTCTGCACAGCCTCTCGCTTCAAGTCTCACCAAGATGCGCCTCCAGGCGAAGTCTTGCCGGTGCGAGCCAAGACGATGGCTGGGAAAGCAAGGATATGACCAGCCTGAAATCTTCCATCATGCACACCTTTTTGCGTGACACGCAAGACAACAAGGAGTCGCCTACAAGGTAAGAGTTGCTGCACGAGGACCAGGCGTCACAGACTCTATTCGCAGAGGATGGCTCATCAAGAACGTCCTTGAGGTCGCGGGCATCGGAGGTCTGGGGTGCAAGTTCTGGAAGAATGAGGTTTATGCACAGGTGACGAGGCGGGAGGAGCGTCTTGCAGAGGGAGTGACGATCATCACTGCAGGTCCATCACAGCCCGTGGCGAGAGAAAAGCTTCCTCAATTCCATCACTCTGTCCTTGACTGGTCGGTTTGGAGTCTTGCAAACTCTCGGGGGCGACACTAGCAGGTGAGTCGCTGCGCAGGTAGGGGATAGAAGTGACTGGATGCTCTGAAAGATACTTCGATCGGTTTCATATGGGGGGAGCCTGGAGCCTGCGGGGGTTCAAGCCGAGGGTGACTTGCTTCCTTGCCGTCATGCCCTCTTGACTGCAGCTGGCAGAGTGTTGGGCCTTCGTTCGGGCATGGCTATGCTGGGACCGTGTCAGTGGGAGGAGAAGGTTGGGGAGCCGCATGTGACGTCATTCGAGTAACGGAACGACAGCGATGGCTATGGTGGACGCATCTCTTTCCGGGGATCTTCCTCTTCCTGCTAGCCTGTCAAGATTCACTAAAGCACGGTACAACGTGACGGCCACTTGGGAGACTTCTCAACGTCTGCAGGTTTCATGTCTTCGGCAACGTCGGCAACAACGTGGCTGTTCCTAGTGGCCCTCCTGTGCTCACCAAGTGCTCTCAAGTCTTCCGCGACGTCAGGTTCAGCTCGACCGGCTGCTGCTAGGGTTTCACGGGCCTTGCTCAGGTCTGCCGTGGGAGTGGGACTCTTAATCCCTACTCCACTCGGGCGACTGGAGATCAACCTATGTCTGCCCTTGCGGGGTTCTCAGGTGAAAACTCAGCTGGAAGGGAGTTGGATTGATTGTGACGCAGGCTGACATGGACAGAGCCTCTTTCGTACAGATTGGGCTTGTGCCGGTCTGACATACAAGGACGAATGGGAACTGCACAACGAGCAACGAAGAACCTCACAAACTCTAGACATTCATTACATTGCCTTATAAGCGTGATTACCTTACTACGAGATATGACGAGCTGAGAAAGGATGCATTTCATCATCCGAATCTGTATGGCCCTCTGCCGTCGCTCTTCCCGCTCGGTTCTCACTCGTCAAAGCTCCAACAGTCTGAGCGTCTGCCGTGCCCTCGATGGTCTCAGCTGCGCTCTGTCCTACCTGCTGCGACTCTTCGCTCTTGCACGTCCAGCAGCGAGCTTTCGGTCCTCGCCTGCAGTATGTACAAGCAAAGCACATGCACATCGTTCCCGCTATGCAAGGAAGGACACAGATCAAGACCACATTGATAGACGAACTGATCTTTCCTTCTGCTGTTGGTGGAAGGGGCGTGGTGGACAGCGGCAAGGTGGTCTCCTGTGGCGCGTAGGATAGCTTGGTTGTAGCTGCTTCAGTTGTCCCATCGACATACGGGCCAGACGTCGAAGCAGTTTGAGAACCTCCAACAAGGTACACGGACACTGAAGGATATTCCAAGATCTGCACATTCTGAAGCCCTTGTCCTCTCAGAGCCTCTAGAAGCTTCTCTGACCCCAGGTTAGATTGCACGCTCTTCCATTCCGCGTTCAGCTCAAGGAAGACTTGATAGCCCACATCGTACTCTACAGCCAGTGCCCGACGAGCTCCATGCACCTCCCGTATGTACGTGATGTTCACGCTACTGCTGTTAACCCCTGCTGCTGTCGCCAACCCCAATATGAACTTTCCTCTCATAGTCTCATTCAGGCTGCTCCCCACCCGCACTGCTCCTGTCAGCACGAGCAACTTCGTCCCAGTCGCTGTCCCGTCAGCCGTGTCGATGCACACAGCGTCTTGCGACGCCGAGTTCTCCCCACAGCTCACGAGCTGGCGCTGGTTTGCTCCACACCTCGTGCATGCGACACAGCTACCTCTGCCTCCCCCGCCGCACGCTGATCTGCGGTAGTCTTGGTTGCAGTACAGCTGAGAGCAGGCGGCGCATCGTCGGTTCGCGGAGGGCGAGCAGTCCGTCAGCATGTACTCGCTCTGCGTGCACGTGGAACACGTCAGGCACTCTCCCCGGGACCCGTTGCCGCAGCCAGACAAGTACTGTCCTCCAGTGCAGTTCTTGCTCATCAACTCACAGTCGTACGTCTGAAACTCGCCGACCGCTATCACTGTTACACCTTGGAACGTGGCCGGCTGCTGGGCTAGCCTCCTTCGAGCCCCTGGTACTCCGACCGAGCATCGACAAGTCACCGTTCCAGCCGTCAGGTCCACCCCTTCTACACTGCACCCGCTGTCTTCAAACCCTCCGTTGCTCCACCGCACACATCTCGCCACCAGCACAGACTGTGACGCAGTCACGACGGCCGTCCGGCTCACCGGCATCACGATCGAGACTTGAGATATCGGGTTGCTCACTGACATGGAAACTCCTACCAGCGGTGTGAGTGGAGTGGATCCGTTCACTGGACCGCTCACAGCTCCGTACATGTGAGCTCCTACTGTTACTCGCCCCGTCACTCCCGTCTGACCAGACGAGTATCGAAACGAGGCGTTCTTCGCCTCAAACATGCCCATCAACCCTGGAGGCACATCCAATACGCTCTTGCCTCCCACAACCCCCTCCACGTTGTCGGCAACCAATCGATGTGACGAGTACTGCTGTACGTACTGCACGCTTTGACCTGTTGCAAGGCTGACTGAGAAACCCTCCGTCACCGCAGCCGTGTTTGACGTCACCCGGTCTAGGATGGGACCGTCCGTATATGACCCGGTCTCCATCCATTTCATGGCGACACCGAAGATTTTCAACACATGCAGCATGATCCCTTCCACTGTCTCCCCGGCATAGCGCTGCAGCAGACCATCCACCTGCTCGACGATCTGCGAAACCGATGTGTTGCTCTGCAAGCCCAGCTCGCTCCCTACGCTCTCAAGAGTGCTCAGCGCATCGGACATGAAGTCCGTAGTGGCCGGATACGATCCGTACGTGGGCTTCAGCAGCGACAGCATGTACATAATCAGCGTACGAGAATGAGACAAGTCCGTCACATTTGCATTCAGTTGAGCCACAAGCTCCAGTGATACCGAAGTGATAAGCTGGTTGAGTCCTGCTACGTTCTGCGTCTGCGCCTTCTCGCTCATGTCCTGCGTCACGCTGGACCAGTCACTCGCTGCTTGTAACAGCCTTCTCCCCGTCGTCACAGTCTTGACGGTATCCTGCATGACGGACGTGAAGGCGCCTCTGCCGTCCGACACAATCGCGTTCATCTGGATGGCACTGCTTGACGGAAGCCGCATGATCAGGTAGGGCAGCGTCGTGGGCTGAAACCACTTGGTGATTGTCTCCCCGTCCTGCACGTAGGAGAACCCGAACTCGTACGTCAGAGGCGTGTCTGGGTCTATCCAGTTCGCGCAAGTAACGACGAACTCGTCCAACAGCGGCCTACCTTGCTTCGTGCAGCTCCCAGAGTCTGACACCAGGCAGGCATAGCATGTCCCTCCCTGAGGAGGAGTGTTGACCAGGAAGCTCGACGACGATGTCCCCACGCTGCCGTTCACCGAGCACTCGACCGCTATGCTGTACGTCAGCCCCTGACTCAAGGCAGAAGACCCGCTCTCCATCAAGAAAATCGCCCCGTTGCGTCCGAAGGGGAACACCGACGCTACGTCGTAACCCACGTTGGGGGCGGGTGCGATGGTCCAGACATACAGAGCTGAAGGATAAGGACAAGAAGCCTCGTACACGAGTTTGTCTCCCTGGTTGACGATGCCCATGGCACCATCGTACGTCTGTACGTTTGACGTCAGCATCACCGCCGGCACGAAAGCTTTCGTGACTTGCACGCGCTTCGAGGCCGTTGAAGGAGTCTTGTCTCCCTTGGACACTACCAGCGAGAACGTGTAGAAGAGCTCTCCGGTGTCCGTCAGCGACCCTCCCGGGACGACGAGCTGGGCCCCACTGGGAAGCTCAAGCAGTTGCTGATTCTTGTTCAAGCACGGCATTGAGAAGGTTCCATCCGAGAAATAGCAACTCCAGTCGTAGGTCAGCCCCTGGTCAACGCCTTTCTTCACGTCAAAGTCTCTTGAGCTGCTTGCATCCAACCGGAGCTCCGAAACCTCCGACATCTGGATCAGATCGCCGCCAGCTATCGCACCCATCAGCGGCAGGTTCCCTATTGTAAGAGTGAAGCTCGCCGTCGTAGAAACCGAGCTGTCTCCCTGCAGGCTCACGCTGACGTCAAACGTGTACGTGTTCCCAGCTTGTAGCTCATACTTGGGTATCCAGAGCTGCGACGTGCTGCTCGGGACGTAGCTCGTAGACACGGCAACGCCGGAAGATTGCGACCACTGAAAGATCATGTCGTTCTTTGCTACTGGGCATGATGAGAACACAGCGGTTGCAGTGATAGTGACATCCTGATCTACAAACGTTGATAAGGGTGACTGAGGCGTGAAGACAACAGTAGGGGAAGGGAAGGCTTTCTTGGTTATCGACGTCACCGCCTCCTTGCTTGAGAAACCCAAGAAGTCCTTCACTGTCACTCCGATCGTGTATGTCTTCCCCGTCGAAGCCATCTCAGCCACTCCAGCTTCAAATTGTATGATGCTCGTGCTTGGCAGCAAGCTTGCAAGGAATGTGTTCAGCCCATCGTCGTTGAGACACCGCCACGTGTAGCTCAGCTGTCGAGCGCTCTTAGCAAGGGCTCGCACTGTGAGAGGCGAGCAAGGGTCCACCTCTTGTGGGGCGCTGATCTGCACCGAGGGGTACAGAGGAGAAAGAGGTTTCTCGACCCTGACAGCAGCAAGCATGGGCATCGAGACTTGATTTACAGACCGGATGCCTCTGACGGTGATGAGCGAGCTTGGCAAGACGGTGGCGCCGGGAGAGAGGAAGATGTTGAAAGCTTGATCTGTGGTCCACACGCATCTCGGTGCCGTCTGGCCGAGCAGACCCGCCTCGCTCCCCACGAAGCCATCGCACGAGGAGCCCGACGCCTGCATAAGGGACCGCCCGTCGGTTGCTTGATCCAGAGTCACGGTGATGAAGGCTGCGGTTGAGTCGAAGCTTGCTCGCGTCACCTTCGGGCTGGCCCAATACACAAAATCTGTGCGAGCAACGATCGATGGGTCAGACCTCATGGTCGCTTGAAATGTCACCGTCGACGACCCAGCCGATACTGTGCAAGCTGAGCATGTGTACTCGGGGGGATTAACAGAGATGATGACCATTGTAGTGTTGCATGAGACAACTGTAAAGTCTGCACGCAGTGAGCCTATCATGATGACGAGCTGGTCTTGAGCCGCGCTCCTGGTGGTGAGAGGAATGTTCTTGATAGACGCTATCAGCGGCGACGGGTTCGTCACAGACGCTACGCATGACCTGGACACGCACTTGAGCTCCCTCCTGTCATCGACCACCTGCATCTGGAAGGCCACCGTCCAGCTCAACATCGAGCTTTCACTCGTTCGAAGAGACACAGTACAGGCAATGCTGCCGATCCCTTGAATCGCCGGGATCTTCGTTTGGAATATCGCGCTGTGAGCGTCAACCACCGTCACCGAACGAAGTCCGCTGCTCGCGTCCACCACGCCTTCATCGCTTCCGAAGGTCACAACAAACCCAGCTGACCCTACAAATGTTCCATCCTTGGCGATGCTGACCGCTATCCAGTCTTCGATGTTTTCTACAGCCACTTCAACGATGTTGCCGTTCGACTGCTGGAGGTCTGACCAAGTCACGTACCCTGTCTGCGGAGACTTGCCGTTCCCGCACACGCCATTCACGATACACATGCTCCCGGGATTGCACGTCCTACAGAAGCGCACGAGCTTCACGGCTGGAGTTGGCTTGTAATACGTGAAAGACGTCGAGGCTTCTCTGATGAAGCCTCTCAGCGCTCCTGTGTTCACCTGCCGTACACTGACGCTTGTTTGGCCCGAGTTCATGCCTCCCAGCACAGCAGATGCCGGAGGTACGACGATCTGCATCTCTGTGTAGGCACTTGTACTTGTCAGCCGCACAATCCCACAGTACAAGCTGCAGGACGGCAGCACACACTGGCATTCGACGCTCCCGAACTTCAACGACACCTCTGCTGGAGACTTTACGATGGGGAAGTTGACGATGGTAAGGGTTGTCATGTATGCTTGGTCTCCCACTAGGCTCGGGTACGTCCTACCCTGTGACGTCGCCACGTTGGGTACAAGGCTTGAGATCGCAGGTCTGTTCACGTAGTCGAAGTAGAACTTTGCCGATGAGAGGTCATAACCATTCCCTACTACCCCTATCGCACTTCCAATGCTTTGAGCTGCCGGTGCAACATACGACAAGTAAACATAGTTCCAGGGCGAGGAGTACTGACGTAGAGTCCATCCTACTATCTGCGTGCTCTGCACGGAAACACTCAAGTTGCCAGGTGAGGGCAGCAGCCCCCAGGCTGACACGTTCATCTGGATGCCTCCGTCTACCGGACAATCGACTGGATCCACTTGAGCTTGCGGAATCAGATACGCGAAGTCATTATATTGCACCTTCTTGGTGCCGTTAGCGATCTCAACGCTGCAAGCACCTGGTAGAAACGAGGGAGGGACAACAAAGCTGAGCTGAAGCAGTCCGTTGACAACACCGAGCACTACGCTAGCAGTACTCGAAGAAACCGATCTCACGGTGAAGGTGATATTGATCCCTGCTTGCTCAGCCGTGCATTGCGAAGAGGCACATGGAGGCATAAAGTTCTCAACCAAGATGCTGGCCCTGGAAGATTGAGCTTGGCAGCTGACACTGCTTGGCTGCTTGCAGATGTACTGCGAAGAAGGTTGGAAGAGCCTAATCTTGGGAGCATTGCTCGCAACGTACTGAAAGTCAAAGGAAACCGTCTTGTACTGATACGTGACAGTGACCTGCGCTATCCCTACGTATCCCTGTAATGCTGGCATCAGGATATCTACGTCATGCACTGCACACTCCGGATACAAGCAGCTTGGGTTCTTTAGACTGATGCTCACTACACTGACCATCTTGACTTCATTCTGTGTGGTGTGCAGGCTGACATTCAGCTCTGTCACCGAAGTACCTGGTCTCAGGTAAGCAACCGTGAACTGAACTGCGGTATTCACGTCCGTCGGCCCTGATGTTGGATAGAAACGCATCAGTCTCGGAGGAGGAGTGTCTTGCACAGTGATTTGCATCTTCGCTCCTCGAGCGCATAACACTTCTCCAGTACAGTCCTTAGCACCAAGTCCGTACAAGGCACAGACTTCGAGCGATGCCCGATAGCAAACTGAAATCGATATCAACCCCACGGACCAACCCGACTTGGGGGCCGCTACACGTATCAGCAGGTTCGTGCTCTTGGAGTTTGACGCGAAGATGGTGCTGGTTGGCATGGACTGTTGACTTAGCGAGGAAGATGCTAAGCTATATAGGATTGACGAAGCATTGTAAGGGACCTTGAGCTGAGGTACGTTCACAAGCTCAGCTTGTAGAGTGAGATCATCTGTTCGCATGATGGTTGTCGGAGAGAATGATCGTACAGTTGCGTTCCCACTCAGCAAGCGAAGATATTGATACTGGAACGATGCCGTTCTGATTGCAGAACCCAAGGTCAACGTGAGGGTGACTGTTGCAAGCTGATCCTCATCGATTCTCACGGAAGGAATCGTCATCACTAGCGAGCCCGTGGAGCCTTGCAGGCTAGATCCTCTTGCTAGGCTCAAACTCTCCGTCGCAACAATCAGCTGGATGTCAGGAATCCTCAACATGATCTCGATGTCTGCAGGTTGAAGTGATGGGAAGTTACTAAACTCAACCAGCACCTTGTTCCCTCCAGTGGCCACACCAACAGTTTGATTCACAGATAGAATCGACGCGTCTGGAACCAATACTTGCTTCACGCAGAATTGTGCGTCGCATTGTGCAGCAGACACGCCTTGCAGCAGCAACACATCTGGAACCTCCTGCAGACTACAAAATGTCTCATAGTTGCACGGCAGGTACGTTGCTACTGAGCGAAGGTAGCTGCTTACCCCTGAGCCATTCCACACCATCAGCTTCACCGTCGCATTGCCCAGTGAGCTCAGAGGCGCCAGCAGCACCTTCAGCCGTGTCCGATTGCAGTCTGGGACCCCGGGCTGGCACGTGGCTTCATTGGAAAGCGACACCACCTGTGATGTGTATCCATTCACTGTGACATTGAGCTGACCAGCTTTCAAGTCTTGCGGACAGTTGGCAAGAAGCAACGTGACCTCCGTCCTGTAAGCAAGGGTTCGTCCAAATACTGAAGTCGACACTGGCACTCCATCGGGATTCATGCTGAGGATTCTCAAGGCAAAGCCGTCGAAGAAGGTATAGTCAAAGTTGACAGATTTTACGAGGCTTCCTGATGTGACGTTGATGGACACAAGCACGTGCTCTAAAGCTGGATACGCGGGCAACTTGACACGTATCCTTGTCACTTTATCGTCAACCCTGCTTGGAGGAGAGTCTATACTCGCTGCCATGGTCACACTTCCTTTGACCCCAGCAGTCAAGGCAGAGTAGGTCTCCCAAGGGAAGTTCACAAGGTATATGTCTTCATACAAGGATGCGCTTTGAGCACTTCCCTGAGTGGGTATTGGATTCACGATTCCAAGTACACTCATATCCTGCTGGAAAAAGCTGAAGCGACTTTGCTGGCAGCTTGCTCCACATCCGGTCGCTTTCATGACAACTGCAACCTCCCCCGGTGCAGTCGCAGGCGTGATGATGTTGAGAACGCACGAGAGTCGCGATGACAGTTTTGATATTGAGACGGTTCCTGCAAGTCTGTCACACGTTGTTGCTGCTGGGGCATCAGCCAGGATGGTCGACCCGAATTGCACTGTGAGGCATTGTGACGGCACATCAATGCAGCTCTCGATGGCCGTGGGATACCGGAAGTATCCAATCTCCACCTTGATGGCTTGACATCCAGTGCTCGGGCCAGATGTTGCAGAAACTGAGTTGAGCTGTTGTGGTGAAGCAATGTACGTGTAGTTGAAACGCACAGCTTTGAGAAGGTTGCTTGTCGGTAGAATGCGAACTTCCACTGTCTGCTGCGCATTCGATCCTACATCGAACGGCGAAGGAAACACTCTCACTTCCGTCACTTCAATCACAGACCTCAGCAAAAGCCAGTTGCTCGTCGACTGGTTCTTTCCTGCGATCTGTATTATCAGATTCTTCGTGGTCACCAAGGGAAAGTTTGCAATGCCAATGTCGATCGAGTTTCCTCCGGTATCCGGCCCCTGCGAGCTTGAGACATATTGCACGTAGGGCTCCCTGTCGTCATAATAACTCACTGTGAAGCAGTTGCTCACATACGGCCTACACGCGGTATCGCATGACATCTGCTGACAACACGAAGTAGGACAATCTACAACCCCATACACCAAGATCCCTCCTACTGTCCCTGCTGAAACAACCCCTTCGATCATATTAGCTTGCACCTCAAATTTGATGATTCCTGTACGAGTTTCGGCGTTCAAGGATACCAACAGAACAGGGAAGCAGTCCGAATAGCTAGTGCAGTTGTTGCGATACCGATATTTGCCCACCATGATTGTGTATTCAGAAGGCATGACCGATGAATCGATATTCTCTATGAAAAGAGACACCCTGGTAGTGGTGCTTCCCTTGGCCCTGATCGTATTCACACCAGTATCGCCATACTCGTTCAGGATCAAGTAGATCCTCGCTTTTCTATCATTGAAGAATAGAAATGAGTCGAAAGTAGCTTTTGCATCAGTGTTCTTCACGTTCACCATGCTTGTAGAGTATCTCTTATGATACACAATGACATTCGCGTAGCCAGGGGACACGGAATCACCGCTTGGGGATGACACATCGACGGTCATGGGACCGAGCATGTAAGACGCCTTCTGTCTCTGACAACTCTCCAGCCGTCCTGACAAAGAAGTCGCATTGGTCAGAGATGCGCTGACAAACAAGACTCCCACGTCCGTGCAGCCATTGCCTGCCGCGTCGGTCTCGGGAAAGTTTTGTATCGAGATTTGTATCCGCACTGGCTGCGACACTCCCCCTGTGGTGGGGAACATTGAAGCCACTTCAACGCTCGGAGCTGCAATGTACTGAAACTCCTGTAACTCCAACCGGAAAGTCGACGATCTCCGACTCAAGCTCCCAATGATTGTTGGCCTCACAGCAGCACTGGCAGACATCGGGGGCAGGAGAAACTGGATGGTCGCCAAGTTCGAACAGAACGGCGAAGCCTCGTATGTCACGCTTGACGCATCTATAGATTCGTTGGTTGGACTTATGACTATTCGCACAGCAGTGGCTGTGAGACCTGCAGGTACATTTGATAGTCGCACAATGTATGGAGTGTAGGAGAACCGATACCCCGACGAAGGAAAGGAATCAATCAATGTCACTGCTGTCTGGCTGATCAATTCTACCAGGAAGCTTGTGTTGCGAACACAAGGCGAATGCTGGCAAAGCATGACGTCGATGCCGTATACACCCATCAAGCTTGGACCAGATTCTATCACCACATCCAATGAGATGATCTGCTTGCTGGTATCGTACTGCGGAGAAAGAGCCGTAGTATTCATGGAAGGCGAAGAGACTCTAGTGATAGGAAGGTCCTCAATCTGAGGGGAGCGGATTACTATTCGAGCCACAAAACTTCGTCCACTGCATCCTGAAGATGGCGTCACACTCACAACAGACGGGAACTCCCAGCAAGTGCCTTTGCTTCCATTTCCGCATCCAGCCAAGTAAGTGCCCGGAGGACACTGGATCTCCGAGCATTCGTGACATACTCGATTCGAATATTGCGAACATGCAGAGTACTCGTACTGCGTGCCTGAACAAGCACGGCAGTCTGAACAGTTTGTGTTCTGGAACTTGGTGCAATTTGACGTCACGAATTGATTCGACAAACAGCGATGACACTGCGTACAAGTTCCTGCACTTCCATTGCCACAACCTTGAAGGTACTCACCAACATTGCATGGCCTCAGGTTGCAATCTGAGCACACACGATCTGCACTTTGACTGCACGATGACACCTCGTACTGGAAGGAGGAACAAACCTTGCAGCCTAAACACTCTCCCATGGAACCGTTCCCACACCCACTTCGATAGAAAGCATCTGAACAACGCAATGACGAGCAGTTCAAACAAACTCGATTTGACAATGAGCTGCCCGCAGAAAGCTGATACTGACTTGGCGAACAGATGCGACAATCCTCACAGCTACCTATAAGCCCGAAGCCACAAGTTTGCAGGTAACGTCCAGCCCCACAAACAACATGACTACAGTTGCGACATGTCGTGTCTGACGTCCCGTTGCAGCCTCCGGCATGTACTCGCCCTCCCTGCACTCCCGACATCCCCGGCACGTCCCTGCCAGCCCAAGCAAGAGTCAGTCTCCCCTCTCGGCCCTGCCCTGCCCTACTCCCTCTGACCCCTTGTCGACCTCGGTCCCCTGCGCCCAGCCCCTCCCCATCATCGTCC